CAATAGGGAGGAATCAGCCAGTTTGAGTTTAAAAAGTGACGTTTACCCCAGCTATTTTTCTCCAGTTGGATGATTTTTCACTTAAAATGTAAAATCTGAGCCCATAAAACATATGCCTTAGAGGGAATTTTTGTAATCATATTACTAATTTTTTTCTAGCATAATAAATATCTAGAAATGGAAATCTGCAATATTTTGCTGATTTAGTTGCTTAACTTGTTTGGTATAATTACAGCAGGTCCTTCTGAGCAGACAGGGTGTCCCTCATGAGAGATACTCATGTTAGAACCAGCCAGCACTTCATGAAAAGCAGCCAGGTGAATTGGCAACAGGTGAGCATGGCAATTCCTGCTCAGGTTTGTTTATGGAAAGGGGTAGGATGATCCTGGAGACAGGTTGGAGCCCTAACAGAGACATTTTCTTAGAATCATAGAATAGTTAGGGTTGGAAAGGACCTTAAGATCATCTAGTTCCAACCCCTCTGCCATGGGCAGGGACACCTCATACTTAACCATGACACCCAAGGCTCTGTCCAACCTGGCCTTGAACACCACCAGGGATGGAGCATTCACAACTTCCCTGGGCAACCCATTCCAGTGCCTCACCACAATTACAGTAAAGAATTTCCTCCTTATATCCAATCTAAACTTCCCCTGTTTAAGTTTTAACCTGTTACCCCTTGTCCTGTCACTACAGTCCCTAATGAAGAGTCCCTCCTCAGCATCCCTATAGGCCCCCTTCAGATACTGGAAGGCTGCTATTTTTTCTCACAACATAGAGGCATTAGGCAATTATCACTTGAGGGTTTTTGTGAGTCAGTGTTATACCATTGGGTAATACCAGGTTTTTTTGCCTTCAGTTTTTAAGGCTTAATGTAAGAAATAGTCATTATGATGCATAACAATGAGCTGAAATCAAGTGACAGCCACTGCACAAAAATAAACAATTAAGTCAGTAGTAGTGCAGGACATGATCTTGTATCTTTTAAGTCCTTTTCTTGTGTCTTGTGACAGAAGCAGCCTCTTTCTTTGCATAATGAATGCATAGTAATTTGTTCTAGACTCTCCTGTTCTAAGCCACAGCCAGAAAGGAAGGAAACTCAAAACTTCTGCAGGAAAGGGACTACTGTACAACTCTGTTTTCTGTGGTCTCTTTAAAGAAACAGAGTAGAGGCTATAAGCAGAACTGGAACCAGCACATGCTCTGGAAATGTCTCAAATGAGCTGCCCTAAGTTAGAAGGTTCATTTAAATTGCCACCTCATTCTGGGGTAGTAATTTACTGCTTCGAACAACAGGCTCCTCAAACTCCCTGGAGATCAGAGATGGGATGCTATAAAATGTGTCTGAGGTTTGCTCCATTTTCTAGGTGGGGTATTTTATGGGCTGATGTATCTTATTTCTAATAATGGTGAAATGATTAGCAGAAAAGTTTGTGGTGTTTTTTTTTTTGTTTGTTTGTTTGTTTTTGCAGTATTTGCTGTTGGGAATGTAGAAATACAGGCAGATTATACTAATATGGAAACACTAGGTTTTGCCAGTGTGAACCTCCTGGTTCAGCTGTTTTAATGTTTTCTAGGCTAGAGGGTAAGAAGGATGAAGTGAAATACAGGTTTTCTTCTCTGCTTTTCCATTAGCTCTTTGTTGCACAAGTTCTCCTTTTTCTGCTGCCTTTAACTGTCAGGTGAAAGGGGGGGAACAGTAAATCATGATGTGACAGCAGAATATTCTTTTAGATCTCCTGGGCAGCCTCTGTAGGGGTTGTCCTGGCAGGTCTGCCTCTTCTCAGGTGTCGTAACCAAAACACAAGTTGTGGGCGGATAGCATGGAGTGGGAAAAGGCAGACAGAAATCGCTCTTGGTGTTAGGAAATGCACAGGCATCGTGGTAAGCATTAAGGGGAGTCAGAAGGATGCCCTTGGAACAGGTCAGGTAGTGCTGCAGGAAGGGCCTTAGACATACGTAGAGAAGAGATTGGCTCCCTGGGGCATGCAGCAGTGGTGGTGCTGATCATAGAGTGTACTATATAGAGTTTCATCATGCTGTGATGAATCATGCCAAATCAAATGCCCAGCTAAAATGTGTATTCTGAATTACACTGACAATCACTTTCAGGGTAGTGATTTTGGATGTTTTCAATTTGTTCATTCATAAAACTTTGCTAGTGGAAGAGTATTGCTTGGGGCTTCCAGGGTTATACACATCTTTTAAGCTTCCGTTTCTCCAAGGTGATAAGAAGCTTGCCCTAGTGCACATGCCACAGAGCAGAGATGGTAATTCAAAGGGAGCAAGTGAGCTGCTGAAATACTGTGAATTATTAAGGACTTTATTGACAACTACCTCGCATTACTTTCTTCTGAAACAATTCCCTGTCGCTTCTTTCCTATTTGTTATGCCCACCTTTCCCCTCACCTTCTCCTGTACTGGCTTGCCATAAAATTTGAATTGGCATCTGCTGTAGTAACCTGCAATAATTTGGATTAAGTAATAATTAATTTTCAGCTAAAAACCTGAGGTTTAGCTTTCCAAAATCTATGTGGTGCATTTTTCCACAGGGATGAGAGTAAAGAAAACCTTTGTATTTGCTGAATTAAGATGCCTTACTTGTCACGTACCAATGTTTGGGAAAATAGCATCAGTGATACATTAATATTTGTACACAGCTACCCAGTCCTCTTCCCTTTCCTTCTTTCCATGTAGGGTTTTAAGCAATTTGTTAAAATAGGTAATCAGCTGATGAGAACCTCCAGCATAAAGCAAAGCACAAATGGTAGTCTGAAGGCGTGTAAAAAGTCCTATCAAGGAATGTCCTAGCTCATCACTGGGGTGATGAAAGGGATGTGTAGTTGTCCTCTCTGCCTCTCTTGAAGTTAACGAGGCTGTGAATACTCACACAGGTTCAGGGGGTGTCCACTGTGCTCTCGTGCTGTCTCTCCCCTATGCTAAAGATCTGAACACAGTGCATCTCTTCAGTCCCTTTGGAAACTGTGAGAGTGGTGTGCAACAGTGGAGAAATAATTTGATTTGTTTCAAATATTGCTGCTCCCTGGTCTGCTGTGTGTATTAGGAGGGTCCTTTCTAGTAAAGTGGTGCACAGATCTTGCAAAAGGAGTAAAAGGAAATCAGAGTTCATATCACAGGCTGCAATCTAGCAAAGGATGAGCAGGAAGGGAAGCCCCCTGCTTCCTGCCTCATTTAGAGAAGAAATGGTGGACAGCCGGGTGCAGGGAGAAAATCAGTGCAGCCACAGCCCCAGGTTTTCAAGTGTAACTTGGAGCCAAACTTTCTGTTTTTCCAAGTGAGATGTTTCCTAAGAATGTTGGAGGGACAGAGACTATGGTTCTTACTTGCCTCCAACACAAGAGCAGCACACTAGTTCTTCATTTTGCGCTTTCCTTTTGTGTGTGTGTGAAAAGGAGGTTTAATCATATTTTCCATTCTTTCTAAAGCAATTTGAGAACCTCAGGGAAAAGTGTTAGGCAGGAGCAGTGCCGTTACAGATAAGCTTCCAGATTATACACAGCTAGAGATGACAAAAATAGCACACAACTGGGACTGCAGCAAGGCCTGGGATAAGGAACGGTGAAGGAGATACAAAGAAGTCCCTGAGGTGTAATGGGTGAGTAGGAAGAGATGTTAAGAGCTCTAATCACCTATAGTAATTAACTCCCAAGAAGTATACAAGGTTCATTACAGATCTTGCAATGTATAACAAACAAGACGTAATTATTAAGTAGGACAATTCACTCTTAAAAATTATTATTAATCTTGCTATGAACTGTGATGAGGGTGAGCAGATATAAAGTATTAATTGCTATGTGATGGTTAATTAATATATCCTCAGCTTGTGATATTCCTAATTAAAAAAAAAAAAATTATATTCACTTCAGCAAGATTAATTCCAGGATAAGACACTACTGAGTATGAGGAAGGCATTACAATTCTGCCTGCCAAAAGCATGTTCATTAATTCTGGTCCTGGATGAATTTGATCAGTGAAAGCTGAAGATATTAATCTGAGAGAGCTTCCCATAAAATGCTTTTATAGGAGACCTGGTTTTGTAGCCTTCTGGTGATGCTGAAGGCAACAGAAGTGTTTCTGTTGTCTGTGAGGGACAGGGGCCTTGAGATTAGTGATTCAAAATGCATGAACCCCAGTTTATATATTGCCATACTCCAGAAACATTGTATCTCAACATTTCTTTCCACCTGTAAAGCTCTTCCTACAAAGTTTGTAGCGACAACTAGTTCTTTTCTAGTGTGTTTGATATCGAGAACTTCAGTAAGGAATCATCACTTTGTATAATGGAGGCCCAGTAGCCTGCCTTGGCTCTGTTCTGCAGTGTAATGCATACAGTCATCCTTATCTTCCCTGCCTGAGCATTTATAACCTGTCCTGGAGAGTGAAAACTAAATGCATTTCCCAACACAGGACTGAGCTGTGACAAAATGTGAGACAAATCCCCTCTTCAAACTTGACCAAAGCAGGGAACTGTAAAGACTGGCTTTTTACAGTAACACAATCTTATTTCTGTAGTGCAGTTTGGAAGTGCTGTAGTTTCATATGTATCACTTAAGAGGTTATTTGTGGTTAGAAGCCCATAGTTTAGCCAGCAGTGCAGGCTACATACATGCAGTATTGTAAGAGGAAGTTTATTGCTGAAGCTTCTCTGCCTGCACTTCTCCTCCACCCCTCAAGCTCCTTCAACACCAGTTTTTTCTTCTTTGCTTCCGTGTCTGCTTTCATAATGTGGGGGTCATCCTTGTGTCATATAAAGTCTGACTTTTAAGTACCCAAAATTCTGAAGAGGTATTGTCTGAAAAATGGGCTTTACTGCTGGAGTATGGTGTAGAAAGCTCAAGCTCAGATTGCTTTTGAACAATCTGAGTCATGAGTTGGCAGTAGTGTCAGCTCTAGCTGGCTTGCTCTTAAGTTCTTATCTTGGTACCCATTTCAACAGTCTCCATCTGCATTACATACAAGCAGACAAATGTACCACTTGATTCCAGGTTTATAGTAACTTTATTAAAATTCAAAACCTTCTGTTAGTAGAATTTATCAATTTTAAAAATATAAGGCATTTACATATACACAGATCTCTAGGGCAGAGAGTTACTATGAGTTTGTGAAATACAGATTCTAGACATGGTTTGTTCTTGCTTGTTCAGAGAAAAGCAAAGAAGAAAGTAAAACAATTATTTCAGATTTGTTTCACATGAGGGTGAAAGTGAAGTAACCTTTCAGAGTTACACTGAACTACTTCACATCATCCCTTGGTGAGAGGATCCAAACATCATTGTCAACTGAGCTAATAGTACAATGCTGTGTATAAAAATGGAAGGTCCAAGGATCATCTCCCGAATATTGCACTGACCATGTGGTAGCCTGAAGCATGAGATTACTTTACTTAAACATTATAAAGGTATGAGCAACCATTAAATTATTTAGCACCTTCTCAAACCCAGCACTCAATGCAAAACACTCTGAGCTCCATCAGGATGGAGGTCTACTCTCATTCAGTTCTGTGGAGGTCATCTTCTTCCCTACAGTATGTGAAGCTGCCATTCACCTATAAATGCTATACTGGTCAGGACAGCAAGGATGAGAAGGTATCTACACTCATTTGTAAATAAATAGTAGCAAGCATTTCAGAAGATAAACAGTGAACAGAGTCCATCTATAAAACAAACATGTTGGCAGACATTCAAAGAGTGAGATTCTGGTGAGTTTCTGTTTCTTCAGAGATTTTATTGCCAATTAGTAAGTAGGAATGAAAAGCAAATACTAAGGCTTTATTCTTTGTTATGTGCAGCACTGACGATGATTCCATTTAGCTGGCCTTAGATGCTTGCCTGGGACAGGATTATTTGTCTTTGATGGCACGTTTTTGGTCTATTTTCTTCATAGCAGTCTGCACCCATTTCTGATTAGAGTTTACACAGATCTTGATACCTTTTGTGGTTATAAACCTATGGGAAGAAAGAAAACAAACCAGGTGGCCATTACATTCCAGTCTCCAAACCCAGGTTTGCTGGTCTTGTTTTTTATGTAGAACTAGAGGAACAATGTGGTAAAACCCTATTACATGCTGGAGTTTGTAGTTTTTAGTTGAAATAACAGCAGTTAGCAGCATTAGTTCCCTATTTATTGTCACGTGCATATTTATTGACTCTAAAAAAGGGAGCATGGTATTCTGGTATTCTGAGATTATATGAAATCATGATACACATTTACGTCACATTTACCTTCCAGGAGCAGATCCTAGGTTTGATAAAAATGCATGCTCAAGAGATCAAAAACCAAATACATCTCCTAGCAGGAGTCAGAGTTACCCCAAACTCTACCACATGATCTTTCTCCTTATCTCAAATCAGTGCAACTGGGCTTCTGACTGCTCCACCCTGACCCCTCACTGAGATTTTTCCCCACTTTCTGGTCAGGAAAGATCTGGCTGTTTGTTCATTGAAATTTCTGCTGGCGTTTATGAGCAGCAAACATCTCCCACCTCTCAGAGACCCACTCCTCTCCCCTCACTCCCTCAGCTGTTAGGTGACTGCCTCATGGAAGGGTGATCTGAACTAGCCAGATTTAGTGAATTGGGCCATGAAGTGTTGTCAGATGCCCTTTCCATTCTCCCTGATAGTGTGTTTGCTTAGGCAAGTCTGAAGGTGAACTGTGCACTGGATACTTACAGGGTGGCGTTTACTGGAACTTGTTGCTTTTCATAGCTGGCAAGATTTCGGATGTTCAGTTGCCTTGTAGACAGACGTACACAACTGAATCTGCGCATGGGCTGACTTCCAGCACTCCCTGGAAGGGGAAAAATAGATAAATGGCAAAGACAGTCAATGCTGTATTGATATTTAGCCATAATTACTCGGTAAATTATGAATTCCAGCAGATTTCCAGTTGTGGTTAGAACGTGAGTGTCTCATGATGTACAGCCATGAAACCCAAGTTATACAGGAGACCTCAAGGTATTTTTTGGCATGCATCCTATCATTTCTGAAATGTTACTGCTATTTCAATTAAGATACTAACCTTCAACTGTTCTCCTGAACAATTGTATCATCATTCTGCCCCTAGGAGTCACTGCTTCTATAGAAAAAGTGTTTGGCATCATTCATAATTAGATCTGTATCATCTGCAAATAAGTGTCCTTATGGAACAGTGCTTAGAATTGACACCTTTACTGGATGGATTTCCAAATGCCATCTGAAAATAAATCAGTAATTCCCCTTAGTTTCCAAGTGAAGGAGAGCAAGGCTACTTGTCTCACACTGGGCATCCAAAACTTGTCTGGCACTAGACATCCAAAATTAAGAATTTGTTGAAAGGGAAGTATATCTGTCAGAAGACTGAGTGCTTACATACTCTTGCTATAAGCCTGGTTTCATAATGATGTGTTACTTAGTTCTCTCTTTCCTCTAAGATTTTCATACACTTCAGGGAAATGCACTGGTGATTAATAAAGAGGATCATGATATCAGTGTCAAATTCTCTGGGCAGTTGTTACCTTACATGATGATAACTAAAAATGGGAGCTCATTTAAGTGAGATGAACTATATGTGTATGTAACTGGAAACCTCACTTGCTAGTTTCTGGTTTTCTCCCACCCATCAAAGACACATTTGAGAAGGCATAGGGAGACAAACAGAACACCGCAATATTCTGAGGTTTCTTTTTAAAGAATTTATAGAGAAACTGGCTTTAGAAAAGTCCAAGATCTGTTGAGGTAACTCTTGCTAAATATAAAACCTGCTTCATGTAATCTCATTATCTGTGAGCTTTTTTTTTTTTGAAATAATTGGGGTAGCTGACAAACACACATCAGCCTACGGAGAAGCTGTAGCATAGCTCCTGCATGGGTACCAGCAGAGTTGCTAATCCTTGGGATTTTGTTTGCCTGAAGGAATATCTCTTCTGATCTTGCTTTGGTCACAAGCAACACAATGTATTTTATTTTTTTTTTTGGTGATTCATTACCAATATGTACTTTACTGCCTCAGAATGGTTTTCAAAATGTGCTGTTAAAGAGCTCAAAGATAGACAAGCAATCCTTAACAGTGGTAGAAATATTCTTTCCACTACTAAACTAGCTGCACGGAATACATTCAGGTAATACCAGCAGAGCTTCTGTAAGCCTGAAAACAAAACAAAACTGCTCCACACCTATAATGTCCCTTTTTTTCTGGTGGTTTGTTTTGGTTTTTGTATGTTTTGTTTTGTTTTTTATTGTTCTTCTTTCTAATCTTCTGTCCCTTGCACACCCCCTTTTCTGCTTTTTCAGACTTGCTGATATTTGTGGCAAATTATGCAACCTGAAGAATGACATTACAGACTGACAGTCTGTGATCGAAGCCATGTGTTGCTGAGATGAACAACAGTAGTGTTCATCAACATATATGAATGTAGTATGATGTAGCTGTAAGGGTACTAGGTCAACCTCCTCACTGTGTAGCTACATAATCTTGAGAATGCTTAGCAGGTCTCAGTTTGGTTTTAGTGTGGTTTTGTGAAGATGCCTTTTCTGTGTGCTTCTCCTTGCTTATTTTTGTGGGTTTGCATATAGCTTGCGAGTATTTTCTGTGATTTTTGTTTGTGTTTTATGTGTTTTTGAATCTGATTGTGCATCAGAAGATGTGCTTATGTGTGTATGTTTTCACATGATACGCATAACCTAACTCAGAAGTCACAGGCCTAACCATCACTGCAGACAAATTTATATAAAGCATGGCTAGTAAACATGGCTCATCTCTATGCTCGTAAATGGTCTCAAACAAGATGATAAATTGCATGAAATCAGGAAGACAGAAAAGACCTTGTACAAATCCACTGCTCTCCTTTGCAGTTTTTTTTTCATAGTTTGCCTCTGAACTAAAATATTTGGCTAGAAACAAGCAAATAGGCAATATGTGACGCAGAACTAGAAGAACTTTTTTAAACAGGGGCATTAGAGGGATTAAGCCTATATAGCTAGAGAAAGACCAAGAAAAAATAATATAATAAAAATCCATATAAAAGTAGCATATCTGGAAAAAGAAAAAACAAGTACATTTTATTCAAGAAATATTTAGCATAAAATGTTATTAACCTATAGACCTCATTGCTTATATGGCATCAGTGAGATTAAAAGACATTGTGTCTTCAAGATTTCATTATTTTCAGAGAGAGAATAATGCACAGAAACCCTTTAAGTGTTCTACACACAGAAACTCTCCTTGCATTAAAGCAGAAGCAAACCTCTAATTGGCAGGACATAGACGAAATTTCCCACAAAGCTGCCTTTCCTGTGGTTCTAACCTGGATTTCTTGTGCATTTTGTCTTATGAATCAGCTCTGTCTGTGAATGAATCCTGCTCATCAGACTGCTGGTGCAGTGTGGAGCAACTCCGACCTTCCTCCTGGGTTGTAAACTTACCTTTCACCTCGTGCACAGCGAGCATGCCAAGCCAGAAGACAAGGAGGATAGCTGCAGTCTGGAGTTTCATTGCTGGTGGCTTCTTTGTCACAGCAGGGAAGAAAGTGGCTACTGTCAGCCCTCTTTCACAGAGTTTATATGTTGTCATTCAGTGGTCAGTTCCTGTGTTCACTTTGGGGGTGTCATGGTGGGGCTGACTGTAAGTGGAAAAAATTGAGTGGCAGTACTTTTTCTGGTGACAGAGAGCCACCTTCTTTCCCGCACCCATCCTTCACTAGCCCCCCTGTGAAGTTTTTTCCTGCACAAACCCTGCTGTGGTCGCACTTGCTTCTGTGTTGCAGGGAGGGTTTATTTCAAGCTGCAAAAAGTGAGAGCTCTTGTTCTGTAGTGGAAACTTTACCAAATGTTCCTGTCCCTTCACACCTCCATTTAAGAGCTGTAGCTGAGCTGCACTGCAGAGGCACAGAGTAACTTTTAGAGCTACCCCCTTGACAATGGACCACTTAAAAGGGGAACTCTGAGCTAAAGGATGGTGGAAACAAAAACTCCTTGGCTTTTTCCAGTGGCTATAGATGGTCACTTTAATGTGTAGCTTTGGTGGGCTATCACTCCTATTTCCTATGTGTGGTGGAGTTTGTCAAAACTCTTTTTTTCTCCATCATTTGGTATGGACAAAGCTGATATCACTGCTGGAAAAAGGAAGGGCGAACACACTTTTACGTACAGAGCCAGATACATTAGCCCTCTTGCCAGTCAGACATAACTAAAATACATGGTTTCAAAGAAGAATGAGAGTTTCTTAAGTTTTTTGTTTTGTTGGTTGGTTGGTTGTCTGTTTGTTTGTTTTGTGGCATGGTCATTCTAGTATAAAGAATGGAGCCTATGAAAGTAACCAGGCAAAGAGGCACGATTTATAAGAATGAAGAAAACAGTTCATTGCACTTCTGTGAAAACATGGTGTTGATAAAAGGTCTGTCAACTTCTTCCAATTGTACCTCTATCAAAATTGTCCTTTTGTTTGTCTGTGCTAGTCCTGTTACCCAGGTTTAGGTGTTCTTTCTATGTTGCGATAAAGTGGTTTGACTTACTGGACAACATTGCTGCATAGCAGTGATTTTAGCACCTGCAAATATTTTCCAAGCAATCTGTGGACCTCCAGACCACACATGAAGCAGCACTTGTGCCAGCATCATTGTCCAGAGCCTCTGAGCAGAAAGGTCCTCTTATGCTTTATGCTCTGGAGCCTGGTAGAAAAAGCCCATGGAGACCCAGCCAGCCCTGGTGTTGATGGGTAAGCACCAAGCTGCCTGATGCCTGAGACTGTGACACAGTGATGCAGATAGCTGTCAGGGCAGAGACTCGAGCAGGTGTCCTTCATGCAAGCCTGAAGTTTCCCCTGCTCTTACCTCCAGGCCTCACCTCAGCTGGTTAATTCCAGTTTTCCAAATTCTTGATAACATCAATGTTAATTGCTTTGCATGGGGAAACACAGCATGTGGAAGTTAGTTCCCTAAGATTCCTCAGGCAAATTAAGACTGAGCTAAGAACTGAGCTATAATACTTGACTCCTAGGCTGTAATAGCTGGTCTGTAACCCCAGGAACAATCTGCAGGTAGAGAAGATGCTGCTTGGTTCACTTGTATATACATGCACGTTCTTTGTTCCTTTTAGTTTGATTCTCTCATCTTACATATACCATGCAACCTAGGAAAAAGCAGTGGCAAAGGTAAACATTAAGCAGGTGTAAGGTACTTGCTGCTTTACTTGAATGCCTGCTAAACCCACTTGCAACCCTAATGAAGTTGCAACAAAATGGAAGAGAGAGCTTCAACCAAAGGCCCTAAAAGACATGCCTGATGCCTCACAGGGAAGTAACCATACTGACCTCAGCAGCCCTACTGGGAATTCTGTCTTTAGTTTGTGCCCAAGCAGCGTAGCAGCCTTGTGTTTTGCTGAACACTACCTGAAATCACTCCTTAAATGAGATGTTCTAACTTTTTGGTACTTGTCAGCCATTGATGCTAGAGAGAAGGTGTCTCTCCATTAAGAGAAAAGATGCTCCCCCACTTCTGCTCACTGATATGGTAAGTACATGTTGATATGGTATGTACATGTATGTATACAGTCACTGTCTACAGCTTTGAGCGGAAGGGTCACCAGCTGTATTGAGCATGAGCCAGCTGAGAAAAAGTCAGTCCTTCCAACAGAAGCTTTGTGAGTTGTAGATTCATCATAGAATCACAGAATAGTTAGGGTTGGAAAGGACCTTAAGATCATCAAGTTCCAACCCCCCTGCCATGGGCAGGGACACCTCACACTAAACCATATCACCCAAGGCTCTGTCCAACCCGGCCTTGAACACTGCCAGGGATGGAGCATTCACAACTTCCTTGGGCAGCCCATTCCAGTGCCTCACCACAATTACAGTAAAGAACTTCCTCCTTATATCCAATCTAAACTTCTCCTATTTAAGTTTTAACCCATTACCCCTTGTCCTGTCACTACAGTTCCTAATGAAGAGTCCCTCCCTAGCATCCTTATAAGCCCACTTCAGATACTGGAAGGCTGCTATGACGTCTCCATGCAGCCTTCCCTTCTCCAGGCTGAACAGCCCCAGTTTTCTCATCCTGTCATCCTTGAGGTGTCCTTAGAAAGCCTGCTGCTACTTCAGTTTTCCACCACTCTTAAGGTGGGATGAAAAAAATTGCCCTGTGGTAAGTTTTTCCCCTCTGTAGTTCTTGTTTGCTGTGGCCTCCTAGGCTGTTGTTCTGTGTAGCTAGCTTACGTTCAGTGAAGTCTGTGTTTTGGAGGAGTTTTGTGGGCTGGAGTCCTACAACCCTGTCTGTGGAAGTTTGGTGATCTCCCGTGTTCTAATATTGGTATAAGGCTCATTTTGCATGTACCCTAACACCAGTGTGCATTCCCTCTGTGCTATAGCAAAAGCTTAGTGCAAGATGATCAGTTGTATAGCCTTTCTGTTTTCTTGCTGGTAAGTCATACTGAAAAGATAGTTAGTAAGTGCCCAAAGTATGTTCCTATTACTGTTTCTCAGCTCTGGTTAAGCTGAGTGCTAATGATGCTTGTCCTGGGGCTTGTCTCCTTGTATGGCTCACTCATCACAGGCTGCTTTCAAAGCATCCTGGAATAAAATGATAATTTGCAGCTTGTGATACATCCACAGACAAAACGGATGGTATGAGCATGGAATTTTATGGAATTAAATGAAATACTTGTTAAATTAAATTATGGAGTATTATTATGGAACTGTTGGTAAAGTCTGAATTCTGGATAAAGGTGGCTAACTTTACCATGATGCTTCCCATGCCCTTGGCTGCAGGTACAATGTGTGAGCCATGAGAACTGCCCCTTCTCCTCCCTTCCACATCTCATGTTTAACACATGCGCTCTTTGCTGAGGGAAAGCAGGTCCAGACAGCAGATGTTGTAGGTATGGATGTGTAGTTGTGTCAGTGTTTAACCTCTGCAGCCTGCTCGTGCGCAGAAAACCACAGGCTTTGAGTTAGTTTCCTGGGCTTCCATCACGGGGGAGGCTGGGACACACAGCCCTTGGAGAGGACAGCAATAGGAAGCTCAAGGAATTCAAAACTTGAAGATGTGCTGGCAGGTCACTGTCACTTTTGAAGAATAAATCAGGGCATTCAGTGACTTTAAGAACCTCATCGTAGATCCATCTGTATCCCCGACAACTGTTTTTAGGGTGGGTGATGTCATCCTCAGGAGATGCATGTCTGTCTCTTATTATCTACAAAAGCAGTATTTGCATGTATCTTATGCCAGACATGATAAGTGAGTGAAGTTAGGTGGGATAAATCTGACCCTAATGTATTCTGGGTTTGTGTTGTTTCTTAACAGTTGGAGTACTGGTTTAAGAATTACCAGCAAGTGACATCCAGCTGTGATCTCTCCCCCTCTCCCCCTCACCCTCCCTCCCTCTCTCTCTCTCTCTCTATATATATATATGACTTCTCCCCGTTCCTCCCTGTCACCTTTGCTCCATAGATTTCCTGCTGATTTCATAGGTATGTGAAATAGCAGTTTATATTAGTTCATTTCATTCCTATTGTAATGGAGTAGAAACAAACACTTTCTGGGTGCTCACATCACAGCTGAGAGACAACGACTTTCAATACAATTTATTCACTTAAATCTCATTTGTGTTAACTGCTCTGTTTTGTGCTGGTTTTGGCAGAACTCCTCCTTTAGAAACATAAGCCTACTAACAATACTTTCTCTGAATCATAATAGAGTTTTTGCTTGTATACCATATACTTCCACTACCATACTGCCCTCTCTTCCTGCCAGCTTTTCCCTGGTTCTGCTAACATGCTCCTCCCTTGATGTCTCATGTGCTCTTAAGTAAGTTAGTTGTATCAAAATCCTTCCTTAGTCATCCGACTTCTAGCATTCAGATCCATAAAATTAGACTGAGAATGATTTGGCTTGAAAGGGACCTTGAACCAAACATATAAAGGCTGCTCTACACTCTAGTCAACTCTACAGTCAGCTGTATGCAGCCCTGTGCCCGTTTTGTTGATGTTTTAAGCTGACTAGACATGAATGTAGTATTCTTTGGTCTTTCTCTCATTCAGTGTTATTTTGTTTTTCAATGAGTATCTATGCAGTCATCCAAGATTTTACAAGAGGAAGACTGATCCTAATCTTGGTCTTGCGTGTTTTGGTTCTTTATAAGATGCATAGCGGGAAGCTAGTTAAGCACTGTGAAATGCTATTGCTGCAGAGAATCACAGAGGTCACTACAGTTCAGTAAAAGTATCTAAATGCTGTACACTGTGAAACAGGAACCAAATACCTTTGGGAATTTGTGGAGCATTCTCAGCCCATCCTATTGCTTTTTTTTCTTCCTTGTTCTGTTCTGTGGTTTGTTTGTTTTGTTTATTTTTCTGCTTTCTCTTCCTCAGATCTCATGTAAAACAGAGAATGCAGATTCTGTTTAGCAGTTCCTCCTGTGCACACCCTATCTGTAGGATCAAGGATGTGGGAACCGAGTCTTCCCATGTTAGTCTTCAGGAGAAGCATCAAGCCTATTGTGTGACGAATAAATATATTTCTTGGTTAACCATGGATAGGCACTGTCTGTAAGACACTAGAGATCGATGGAACCGAAATGTTGCTCTTGGGTAAACCTGAGATTTCCTCAGAAAAATGAAGAACCTCAGATGTTTATGTTTTCTCAGTGGAGAACAGTTTTCCACTATATTGCTTTGGAGAGAGCCGCTTAGCCAATCTGTATGTATTTGGAGTCCTTTGCTCCATCACAGGGAATATGTTGAAGAGCTAAGATTGTTATGGGAAAGGGGGAGTTACAGGAATGAGAACACACATCAGTGATATGCCTCACTCTCATCTATTGTGCATGTGCTATTATTTACAATTACACAGACTTTTTCTTGTCACTGCCATTAAATACTTTTGCAGTCGTGTCTATTTTAATGAACCTTTTAATGGACTGGGGTCTGTGTAAAACAGAATCACAAATAAACCAGCAGGTTCCAGGCAGCAGAACCAGTAACCCTGGATTCAGCTTTCAGTCTATTATCTGCTAACTTCTCCTGTCTCCACCCAAGAATTACTCTAACTCTTCAGCATGTGTTTTTCACATGCCAGAGAAATCCATGTATGTTCTCCGCATGCTTGTGGTTGCCTAGTTCACATGTGCTGGCAGACACGCTGCATTGACTACCCCTGTTCTGCTGGCTTTTCCTCGCAGTGAAGCACTGTGTTGAGTCTCTATCCTGTTCAGTCACTAGATTTGGGAAAAATTGTAGGGATTTCTGCCTTTTGTTTAGCACTGGTTGAAATTGGCCAGTGGATTAAAAAAAAACAAAACAAAACAAAAATTTAAGGGAAGGCAGATGAATAATGCAAAAATCCTTTTTTGAAAATATCACCTTCTTGAACTTTCCAAAAGGGAATCCCTGGGGTTGATTTCTTCCATTTTTCCCCGCATAGTTGATTTCTAACCGATGCATGTGTTTTAAAAAAAAATATGCTTGTATGCATTTTTGATAACCAAACCTTCATGAGGGCTTATGATAGAGTTTTACTAATTGGACAATTTTTAATTTGCAGTTATGATGCTAACCCCTATGGCTTCCAGGACAAAATTAAATAGACAAGGCAGGAACTGATCATTGCAGAACCTTTGCAGGAGAGATCCATGGGTTTTCTTTTCCAATTAGCATATTTTTTTCT